CATCATGATGCCCAAGTTCTTGCTCTCCAAGCAGCCGTGTGCCCCTCGCACGTCTCTGCCCGTCCCAGCCACGGTCTAATCTCTGAACAGGGATGGAGGTGATACGGGCTGGACACCCCCACCCACTTCTCCCTGCCTGAGGAGCTCACCAAAGAACAGCGGTTTTGCCGGAGTGCAGGTGCAGAGTCCTTGGTTCGGGGCGAGGTCTGCCCTCTGCACTTCTCACAGGCTTCCGTGTGCTGGTGCCACCGCTGCTGGCCTTGAGGAGAGACACTTAGGATGCTCAGGAGTCTGAGTGCTTTATGTTGGGGCGGCGCTGCAGGGAGCCCGGAATGTCATACCTGGGCGACCGATACACCTGGGCTTTCAAACTGTGGTGCTGGGAAAGACTCTTGAGAATCTCTTGGACAGGAAGGAGATCCAACCAGTCCATCCTAAAGGAAATCAAGCCTGAATATTCATCGGAAGGACTGATGCTGAAGCTGAAACTCCAATCCATTGGCCACCTGCTGCGAAGAACAGACTCACTGGAAAAGACCCTGATCCTGGGAAAGATTGAGGGCAGGAGAAGGGGACGACAGAGGATAAAATGGTTGGATGGCATCACTGACTCAATGGACATGGGTTTGGGTGAACTCTGAGAGTTGGTGATGGACAGGGAGGCCTGGCGTGCTGTGGTTCTTGGGGTCACAGAGAGTCGGACATGACTGAGTGACTGAACAACACCACACCTATATGACCGTCTCCTCTGCTGTGGGTCTGATTTCTTCATCGGAGTCCATCTTTCAGCAGGTATTTATTGAGCACCTACTGTATGCCAGGTGCCACACTAGACCCTAGGGACCTGGCTGGAGAAAAGACAGTGCCCGGCCCTCTCGGGACTACAAGAGCGTTGAGCACAGCATCTTATCTGTTTGTCTGGTGTGCAGTGGGGAGGCTCATAGGTCAGTTGTCGTCCTGCCTGTGGAGACAGAGCCCAGACTGCTTTTCATCCAGATGGGAGGTGTTTTCTAGCAGTGTTTCCAGGAAGTGGCATCGGAGAGGGGCACTTTCTGAGGACTTCAGAGCCTCACGTTTCTTTTCCTTCCTGGGGGTCTGCGGATTCTCGGGGAGCAGTGCTCCAGGGACACCACCCTTCTCCGTCGAACCTCTGGGTGTCCTGCAATTGTCAGTTAGCAAGTGGTTTGAGCATGGGGCTGTCACCCCAGTCCGGCCGGGTCTCCCTGTTTCTGCTGGAGGCCTGTAGGAGTTTCTCTCCAGCCTTAGGATCCAGAACTTTCTGTGTGCTGTGGCTCAGTTGCCTGTCTTGTTGGGTGTCCTTTCCAGAGTTGGATGTTCCTTCCAATCTGAAGCCCCCGGTCTTTCCTGAGCACCGGGACCCTCCCCTCTGGATCTTGTGTGTGATTGCATCCGCTCCCTCTTTTGCACATGCCTCGTCTTTTGGCTCAGATGCTGGGAGACGCCAGAGGTCAGTCTCCAGTTTAGGAACGGTTTCTCGTCCGTGTCTGTGTTGCTATTTTGCTTCTATTCTTTCCGTGATTTCCTGGACCTCTTCCCTCGTCTCCTGTTGCTCCTTTTCTTTCAAAGCAGAGTGCCCCTGTTTCATCCTCACGCACTCCTCTGGCTTCTCCCGAGCTGATAATTTCCGCTTGTTTGAGGGTTTGGTCCCTGTTCACAGGGCCGTGTGTGTGTGCGCGCGCATGTGTGTGTGAGTGGTGCTCAGCAAGGCTGTTTCCGCTCTGTGGCCCTCAGTCCCCTGTTGTGAATTGTCATTTGTTTTCTACCCGTATTGATGGCGCATTTTGTTGGTTCTCTCCCTCCAAACCACTCTTGGGAGCTGTGTTCAGATGGTCAGGAGGCTGGGTCCAGGCTTGGTGAGGGGCCGGAGGGCCCAGCTGAAGGACAGTGCCAGACAGATGCCCCAGAGGCAGGAGGACCGACCTGTGTAGACTGGGTGAGACCCGCCAGGGTGGGGGGCAGCTGTCAGCTTCTTCACCACTGGGCCCATTGCTGCTCGTCTCCCCTGGCACCCTCCCCACCCCCACCCCAGTGTCCGTGGGAGCCCAGGAGTTGAGGGTCTTTGTTTTAGGCGCAGCGAGTGGGAGGAGGGAAGAGTTGTGGCAGCAAGAGCAGCTTGGCCCCTTCCGTGGATGCCGGGGTCTATGGAGGTGAAGGTGCCTCTAATTTTCACATGGAAGGGGCAGTGGGAGCTGGGGCAGTGCCCTGGACATCTGCTCTGTGCTGCGGCCCACAGCCACAGCCCCTGACTTTGGGGAGAAGCTTCTGGCCTCCTGACCCTCACTTCTAGCCTTCAGTGTCCCACTGGCAGCCTTTTTTGGCAGCCCCAAAAAAAGTCAAGGTATTTTGTCCCTTTCCTTCTGGTTGCAGAGTCTTAGCTGCACTTCCTCTAAAAAAGTTGCCATTGTCTACCCTGAGCTCTAGTTGTTTATCAGCACGTTTCTCCTCCCTTGATGGACTTCTTGGATCCATGCCTGGGCTTTTTAAACAACTAGCAGCCTTCCTGGCACATGAAAGGTGCTCAGTGCCTGTTGGAAAGATGGATGGATAGATGGATGGGTGGATGGATGGATGGGTGGAAGGGTGGATGATGGAAGAGTGGATGGGGGATAGATGGAAGGGAGAGTGGATGGAAGGGATGAGGGAAGGATGATGGATGGTGGATGGATGGATGACTGGTTGGATGGATGGATGGATGGATGGATGGATGGATGGATGGATGACTGGATGAATGGATGACTGGATGGATGGTGGATGGATGACTGGAGGATGGTGGGTGGATGTGTGGATGGAAAGATGATGGATAGGTGGTTGGATGGATAGATGGATGGATGAATGATTGATGAATGGATGGGTGGGTGGATGGAAGGATGGATGAATGGATGGATGGTGGGTGGATGGATGAATGGATGGATGGTGGGTGGATGGATGGGTGGGTGGATGGATGGATGGTGGGTGGCTGGATGGGTGGATGGATGGTGGATGGAAGGATAGATGGATGGTGGGTGGATGGATGATGGATTGACAGGTGGATAGAAAGAAGGAAGAAATGAAGAAAGGAAAGGAGGGAGGGGGGAGGAAGGGAACGTGGGTGGAGGGATGGGGGGGTGGGGATCCGTGAATGAACGGAAGGCCCTAGGATGAGCGCTTCCCCTTTAAGCCTACCCGCCTCTATTTCTGGAGACCTTTGGGCACGCCCCTCCCCGGGGCGGCCCTCAGGACACAGAATGGAGTAGGACCCTCCACTGCGTCTCAGCGCCCTGTGGTCTGGCCTGGTGAGAGAGGAGGGCGCCCACGCTCTCAGCACAGCCGCCCCCTGGCCTCTCCCCCTGCCCCCTTCTGGACCCGGCAGACTGAGGCCGGCTGAGCTGTGCATGGGATGCGTGCGCACGGCTTCAGGTGGCTGTCCCACACAGGAGGCAGTTGGGGCCCCAGCTGTCTCACATTTGTGGCCGAGAGCACCGCCCACGTCAGCAGACACGCCAGGGTCAGGGTGACATCAAGGAGCTGGCCCGGAGGCCCTCGGTCAGGAAGACTAATGAACCTGCCGCTGGCTCCTGCCCGGGCCCCCCGGGCATGTGGAGCGAACCCCAAAACCCACACTGCTCGGGGCAGCCCTGCCGTCCTGGCTTCCATGGATGATGCTGTTTCCCCTTGGAGAGCTGGCGAGGCTCATATATCAAAACCTGTTCTAATGACTTCCTCCCGCGGAGGAAGGCTTCCATTTAGCTTTCTCTAGCTGCCCCCCTTATTAATTGTCTAATTACAACCACATTCTCCGAGAAAGCAGCCTTTGACTTTCTGCCCAGGACCACTTTAAACGGCTGACATATTTGGAGTGCTCAGAACTTGGAAAAAAGGAGTGCGTGTGTGTCTCCAGGCGCTGGGGTTCAGGGAGGCAGGGTCTTCACGCTCGCAGGGGTTTGTCCGGATACCATCAAGGGTCCTAGAGCCCCCTGAGCTGCAGGGCCTCAGCGTGAGGCTCCATGGGAGGGCGGGGCACGTCCCCGCTGCTGCTGCCCACTGCCCAGCGGGGTCAGGCCACACACACATGCACACGCACACACGCACGAGTGAAGTGTGAGTCAGCCCTCCAGCCACACCCAGGCCCCTTTCCTGGTTGAGACGTCTCACTTGACTAGTGCAAGGTGAGAATAGTGGGGGAACCCAGTGAGATGTATGTAGCACCTCCCTATACATTTTTTTTGCAACTGCCTGTGAATGTACGGTTACTTCAAAAGCACAGGTTAGTGACTGACCCGGTGGTCCACTGGTTTAGAATCGGTCTTGCAATGCAGAGGACTCAGGTTTAGTCCCTGGTCGGGGAACTAAGGGTCCCCCACGCCACAGGGCAACTAAGCCCATCCACCACAACTGCTGAGCCCGTGTGCTGCAGCTAAGACCTAAGCAGCGTAAGTAAATAAGCGCATTTTTTAAAAAGCTCGGGTTTAAACAATCATCTACCCTTGCCAGCCCCGGCCCCACGGCGGCCCCGTTGCTCTGCATCCTCACTCTCCCCCCTCCACTGCCGGCTTTGCTCTCACCGTGACCCTGAAGCTCCAACAGTCACCTCACCCCGACCCCCTTCCCCTTCCAGGGTGGGGACTGCTTTTTCCACGGGAGCCCGCCTGGGGGCGGCTCCTCCATGGGGCGGCAGCAGCCTGCGGGGGCCCCATGCTGGACGAGGCTCTGGTGGGTGCGAGAGGCAGGGCATCCGGCCCTGGGGGTCTGGGAGTGACTGCAGAGGGTGCAGGTGGGGAGAGAGGGAGCCCTCCGGGCCGGGCCTGGGTCCCCGGGGGCAGCAGCCTGCAGGCAGTGGCCCCCTGTCCAGCTCCTGCCGGGAGAGTGTGGGGGCAGGCAGGTATCAGAGCAGCTTGCACCTGTCACGGCCCGTCGGGGGGCCCACGGGGGTGAAACGGCCACGCAGCCCCTGACTCGAGGGCTGCAGCGGCTTCTCAGCCTCCCTGTACCTTGTCTTCCAGACTCTCCTGAGGGGCTGAATGCAGCTGGCATCGGGGAACGTCCGAGTCTGCAACTTCTGAAACCCGAACGACCTCCAGGAAGCCCCCCCGCCCCGTCATCTCGGCGCTCCCGCATGGCGGCGTCCAGACAAGGGCCCAGCGGCAGCCCCCCGGACCACGCGGCCTCCGCCCCCGAGACGCCCCTAGACGCCCCCGCCCAGGAAGCGGCGCTCAGGGTCCATCTCGCCGGATAGCTCACGGCACTATTCTCGCCGCTGTTTGAGAGTGTTCACAGACCCAGCCCTGGGTTCTGTTTTTTTTTTTTTTTTTTTTTTGAGGGGGCGGGGATTGATTCTGAAAATCGCTGAATTCAGGAACACATTTACGAGGATTTTGATTTTGTATTTCCCTCTAAGTGCCTTTTTTTTTAGTGTATATTTTTTAAAAAAATAAACCAGAAATGCCTTCCTGTACATTCTGTTTCAACTGGACCAAGGCTCTTAGCAAAGGAACCTTGAGCTACACTCCCCACCCCCTGCCCCAGCCTCTGCATGACTGTTTCAAGTTAGCCTGGAATTCTCACCTCTCCTTTTCTCTTCCTCCATGATTCGCTCAGCTAATCATTTTTTTTTTAATATTTTCTGTTTCAGTGTATATGTTGCTTATTTGTTTTATTTATTGAGATGTCTTTAACGAGCTCAGTGACTGCAGTGTGGCTGTGTATACTGCTCCCCTCCCAGGAACAATAAAGACGTCCCTGCAGCCCCCGTCTTCCGTCTCTTTTCTCCCCACCGCAGCCTGAGCACAGCCTGAGAAACTTGGAACCGGTTGCAGAAATAACAATCGCGTCACTTTAAAGGGGACCAGCGGGATGTGAGGCGTGTTAGGCTGTGCATGACCATAGGACTTTCTAGAACTGCCAGTACTGGTGTGGTTGAGCGTGTTCAGTGGGCCCAGGTCTGGGAAAGCTGGTGAGGTTGGCCTCAGCCCCTCCATGTGCCCATCTGCTACCCCAACCCCGTCAGTCACCCATCCTGTGTCCTACCCCCGCAGTCCGAGGTCAGGGCCAGCCAGGGCCAGCCCTGCAGAGCCTTCCCGGGTGGAATTCCTTGCTTCGCCTGCACACGACCTCCATGCCCACTTAGGTTTGTCTCCCGGTGGGCCACAGTCTGCTCGGCATGCCTTCGGTTTCCCTCATGACGCATTCCACGGCAGCTGTCCCGTCCCCTGCAGCCCGGGTCGTGCGGCTGGGTGAGGGTGAGGATGTGATGCCTGTGCGTACAGGTAAGGAGGGGTCCCTGGGGCAGAGGCCCCATGAAGGCCACGATCTGCGGCCAAGAAGGAGACTCTGGCCGGGCTCTGGTCTGGGCGGGCAGGGGGGCGGTGCAGACGCGCTCCATGTGGGGCAGGAAGTCCCACTCCCCTCCTGCTGGCCTCCTTACTGTGTCCACGGGCATCAGTAGGAGCTGGGGTGACGCCCAGGTAGAGGGCTTCTGGCCAGGGAGCTGCAAGTCACCTGCTCACCACCCAGAGGCTCCAGAAGCTTGGCTCGTGGGAGACAGCTGGTACCTGGGTCAGCTGGATGGAGCTGTCCACGGGTGAGAGGCCACGCAGACCCCGTGCCACCGCCAAACAGGCTTCTGGAGAGTGGGGTCTGTGCCAGAACGTGGTGGACCCTGAACCTTCTCACCCCACTCTTGACTTCTGTTCCCGAGCCCACCAGAAAGGCGTGAGCTCCAGAAATGCCAGCCTGTCCTCAACTTCCATCACCTTGCTGGCCCCTAGAGGTGACCTTGGTGCAGTGCCCTGCAGCACGGGCCCCAGTGGCCGCTGCGTGCAGCAAACACCGACAGACAGATGCATACGCATACACATACATGCACCTGGACTCCTTGCTGAGACCTTGGAAGGCAGAGCTGCTGCCTTGGCAATGAAGTCCAGACATGCTCTATGCTGTCCCACAGGGTCCTCGAGGCCTTTGGAGGTCATGAAGACTGCAAAGGTCATGGTCGTTCTCTGGGGGCTGATTAGAGGAATGTCAGATCAAATCATCCAAAACTGATGGACAGGGTGGCCATAGAGAACGTTCTTGATTTCTGAGTCGCAAAGTCCATGCCCCTCCTCCTAGAGCTGGAGGGGTGTCTTGCATCCCTGCAGACTGACCAGCCCCTCAGTCTCTACTTCCAGTGACCAGGCCCTATGAGCCTCCCACACCCAAGCCCAAGACCGAGGGCCTGACCACAGAGGGGGCAAGGAACAAGGAGTGCCCGTCCCAGTGAGGTACCCACGCGGGACAGTCAGGAGACCCCAAGGCCAAAGTCTGAACAGAGAGCCCAGGTCACACCTGGGGACCCACAAAACCCAGCTCTTTGCCCCTGGATCCCTCCCCTGCCTGGACACATGCTCAGGGGCAGCCTGCCTCTCCAGGTCCAGGCCTCGTGACAAGAATAGTGATACCCCAGTTAGCACCTTGATAGCCACTCTTTACCCACTGTGTTGTCTTTGAGGGCTCACCTATCCATGTCTCCCTCCCTTTGCCTAATCAGGCAGAGTTCCTTAAATTAACATTGCCATCCATGAGTTTTCCATGGAAATGTGGAAAGAGATAGTAATACCTAGGCCATGAGAAGCATCTTTCAATAGCACAAGTGGCGTCCATCTGGGTCTCTGGAACTGACAAAAGCCAAAGGGACCTTTCCAGGGGGCCCTGAACACACATCACAGAAAAGGCTCTGGTAAAACTGCTACACTTCTGGGTTCCACTTACCAACAGCTGGAGGAGGTCATCTAGGCAGCTTGTTCTCCCAGCACCACTTCAGGTCTCGTGCAAGGAGAGAACCTGCTGGACTGACTCCTCCCTGCCTGAAAGTAAACATCACTGTTAGCAGTTGAGCCAGGCTGCCTGGCTGACGGCAGAATCATTGCCTGAAAGAGAGGCCCTCTAGCTCTTGGTGAGTGTCCACTCCACTGCAGGTACGTGTCCAGCCTTTCCAGCCTCCAGTTCTGTGGTCACCTCTCCCTTCAAAGCAAAATGTCCAGCTTAGAGCAAAAAAAAAAAAAAAAAAAAACCAAATACAGGCACAAATCCTTCACAAGATGAGCCCCTACTTTAAAATGCCCCTTTGGGCAGACGCCATGACCCCACCCCCAGCCCGGGCCCACCCTGTAGCCCTTCTGACCTCAGGAGTCTTTGCAAAGTTCCCCGCAGTGTGCCCTCCCTTCCGAGGGGCAGCCAGAGGGGTGAGCAATCAGACCCTTCCTTGCTGTGTTCAGAGTGGCTGGGGAGATTCCCGGCCTCACTTGAGTCCTTTCTCGGTCCCTTCAGGTCAGTTTAAAGCTACAAAACTCAGGGCTTCAAAGATCAGGGCTTGATTCAAGGGAGGAAACCGCACAATTGCAGGGGCCATAGAAACTCAATGTTCCCCAGAGCCCCACATGCCCAGGGAGTGGAAAGGAGGTGGCCCGCTGCAACTGCTGGCCCCTTACCGCCAGACCTGAAACCACCTTCGGGTGTTTTTACACAAGAAGACGTTTCCAGCTGGGAGGTGGTGGCTTGGGCACATCTTCTAGGGCAACGACAAAATCCAAGGGCATTTAGAGATGACCTTGCCAGAATCCTGAGACACCATATCAGAAGGGCAAGGAGAGGGTGGAGCTTTGAAGTCCCAACATCCCCACTGTTCTAGATTTCGCTGTAAAACGTGTGCCCTTCGGTGGTCACTTTTGCTCTTGCGCCTGCGTGAACAGAGCAGGCGGGTGATGAGTTTCTAGGGACTGTGACTCCTCGGTGTTGCTGGAAGGGCTGAGCTACGATGCTCCCAGCCGTCTCTCTGGGCTGGATGTTGGATGTGTCTTGCTTCCCACGCTGTGGTCCAGCTCTGCTCACTGAGACATCCCAGGCCGCGAGGTCTCCAGACATCATTCATGGGAAGAGAGGCTCAGAATCGGCGCCAGGTGGACTTGGGCTGGGGACCCCTCTGATAAGGCTCTGGCTGCCGCACCCATGAATGTGTAAAGAGAGAAGGTCCGCAGGTGTTCCTGACCTCGGAGGTGGCCAAGCACCCAGCCACTCCCCGCTCCACACCTTCTGGACGCCCCCTGTCACACACAGGGACAGACTCTGCCCAGAGCACCCCGTGGTGTGGCCTGGGTGACAGTGTCCCCTGTGAGTGGACAGGGACCCGTCTTGGGTTCCTAGATGGGCTTCAGTGCCCAGCTGCACTCAGCACTCACCTCTTGCCATCTGGCGTCCGCACCACTCTGCATGCCTCACCCAGGGGTGTGAGTTTTTCCTGGCCTTGCCATGCAACCCACATCACCTGCTGGGAAGGTGGCCGTTTGAGTGAGAGGCGACCAGTGCTCTGAGCATCCAGCCCGGGGAAGTGGCTGGCGTCGGGCGGGTGGACGTCCTGACCCAGGAAGCGGGGAGCTGTCTGTGCTCCCCGCAGGGTGCAGCCAGCCGAGACCAGGGGCTGACCGTCGGCTCTTGTGTTCCAGGCTTGAGATTGGAGGACAGAGGCGGGCGCCGTGGCCCCGACCCTCCCCGCCCAGAATAAGGACCCCTCCCCCGAGCTTCGGAGAAGACAGTCTGCCCACCAAGCCGTGAACGGCTGGGGCCCAAAAGAGACAGAGGTGGTTTCGGTTCCATTTGCATTGGTGATTTCTCTCTCCTTTTGGTTGTTCCATAGCTGTTGCCTGCAGCGTGTCACACCACGTCCCCGGAGCAAGTAGGCACAGTCACCGTCGGAAACTGGCTTCGCAGTCTCAGTCTCCCCAGCTGTGAATTGGGGATAAAACCCCACTGCTGCCTTTCTTGTGGGGCTTTGTGACAACAAGCCAGGCCATGTGTGTAAAACCGTCTCCAGCCTCGGCTCCCCGTCGGTAGATTGCCAGCAAGATCCCGGAGAGAGCAGACACGGGGCACCGCCACACTCTGCTGACCCAAGGCCATGAGTTTTGCGTGTTTCTCTGGCTTGTCTTTTAACCAGGTGATTGGCGTTAGGGCAGGGACCAGGCGGGAGGGAGGCTGGGTCACCCTTCACACATGCCTGTTCCCACCCTCTCCGCGGAGACAGTCAGGGAGGATGTTTTCTCTGCACGACCCCAGCTCCCCACGGTTCTTTAGTTTCTGTTTCAAAACACCGAGCGCGCAGTCAGCGGAAGCTCAGCTGAGACAGTGGGCTGGGTCGCCGACTCTCAAACCAGCTGAGAGTGAAGTTTCAGCCAGGGAGGGGACGGGCCGGGGGAGACAGCCCGCCCCCCACATTCCCACCCCTCCTCCACCCGCCTGGTCCCCCCAGGAGGTCATGCAGAGTGAATCGTGGGTGTTGGGGGCGGGCAGAGGCCGAGAGCCCCTTGGCTTAGTCAGACATCTGAATGATCTCAGAAGAAGAAGGGCCCTGGAAGAAGGCGCTTTGGAGGAGGGGTGCTTTCCTGGAGGGGCCCCGGCTAAGCTTAAGAAGGTCCAAGAATGGCTCAGTGCCCGGGAGGGCCAGGTCCCCAGGGTGGGCGGGACGTTGCCTGGGCTCAGGGCCCAGGAGCAGACACGGGGGCGGTAGCCAGGCGGCCGCCCGTCGCCCCTGGCTCTGAGCAGGTGACCGGAGCAGGTGCTCATGGCAGCCCCAGAGAAGGAGGGCCTCTCCTCTGAGCCGCCCCGCCCCGTCGGGCTCCAAGCCGCGGGCTCCTAAGGGGGGCCCTTCAGCAAATGCCCCCAGACGCGTGCCCCCCAGCGCATGGTTCCCGCAGGGCCCCATCGCCTGGGGACCTGGATGCTTCAGGAAAACCCCTGTGGGTCCCGGAGGAGACAGGAAGGCGGCTCAGTGAAGCCTGGGACTCCTGCTGGGGACAGTCGCCCTTCAGGGCAGAGTAGGGGGTGCAGAGAGGGGACCCGAAGATCCACCAGCTATGACAGAGGAGCAGCGTGCCTGAACACTGATCCAACCTCCCCCCAAACCCCGTCCTTCCCCCCGCAGTGAGACTAGCACAGTCTTTGCTGTTTCCCTCCTTTTAAGCGGAACTCCCTGACATGAAGGGGATCACACGGGAGCCCGTCTCCTGGGAGGGGCAGCCCAGACGTGTGCTCTCACTGCGGATTGTCGGGGGGGCTATGTCGACACCCACCTTCTCAACGCCCAGAGACTGGAAGAACCTCCAGGAGAGCGTCAGGAGCTGAGTTCACCCTGGGTCTGTGAATGGGAAGGTGAACGACCCTCACCTCCAACTGACCTGCTAAAAATGCACATCCTCTCGGAGTCAAGGTCCCCAAAACCTGTGCTTGATTGAGC